AGGATACATTGGGTTCCATGCACTTACTCTGAGTGTTTGAATGTTATCGATACAAGAAGGTCTCTTTACACCACCAGAGCCACCACGAAGAGCACGACCACAACACGCCTCCGTGGTCACAATGGGGCTTCATCATCAACCGGATCCAGACCATATTCTCCATCAGGTGACCTAGAGACCCGATCTATGCTCTTAAGGGCTAGTTCTCTAGTGTATCTTCCCAGATAGCTTGAGAGCGAGACTTTTGGAGACATCTACACCTCTTGGTGGAGGAGCGTTCCTATTCTCAGTATTGTGTTGGCACCATAGTACTTTCACCTTCTTTCTCGTCTCTTTGACTATAAACTCTTAGTTTGTGATTTTGTGTGTTGAACTAGTACTACTATTGTGTTTGTTTTCTTTTTGATGATTTTGAATAATGTTATTGTGTAATAACCTCGTCTTGTGAGAGTATGTGTTTATGTTTATCTCCTTGTGAAGCTCTCTCCCCCTCAAAATTGGTCCATCTCGAGTTTGACTTTCACTCGCAAGATTTATACGGTAACTTCGTTCCACTCTTATCTTTGCTCCATTGGGGACAATGTGAAACACCCTAACCCGGCCGGGTACTACTTTTACTAAAATGCCCTTGATAAATAAAATACTCAAATCTTAAATTGCAACTGGGAAAAATTTTAATAAATAAAATACTGAAACTTTAACTCAAACTTTAAAATCTCAATCTGATCTCAAAATAATCTCCAGTCTGTACTCACAATCATAAATGTAAATAACTAATAATCTCTGAAGTTGTCGCTACTGAAAACCTTGACTAAGCAACCTCCGTGACGCTTATACTGCTCTCCTCTAGCTGGCTGCCCTCGAACTCGCTGCTCACTAACTACTCCTCTAGCTCCTCAAACTGGTGAGTGAGATGGGGTCAGTCTACGCCCTTACGTTTTAATAATTCTAATACTTGAGTACTTTACTTAAACACTTAACTTTGACTAATGGGAGTTGTTTGTACTTCCAATCTTAAAATCTTAACTCTTAAACTCTGAGGGAGTTGAAGTTACTCTCCTCTCTTAAAGCTCAAATATTGACTTAAATATTTGACTGACACGGGGATCCCTCACTAGCTAGTCCGGTTGCCAACTCATACGTATGAGAAGCCATCCAGGCTTTCCTTAAACTTAAACTCAGTTAGGGAAGTCGTAACGATTCATCCCCCTAACATCTTAAACTTATCGTGGTGGCTCTTCACCACGATTCTCAAGAGCATAACTGCTGCTCATCTTAAAAGTCTTGAGAGCATAACTGCTGCTCTGTCTCAAACTGTCTCAAAAGGGCAACGGACTGGCGCTAGTGACTAAAAACACTTAAAACGACTTCACCTTCTTGAAGGTGAGTTACTTCTTAAAAAGAACTTGTTTCTTAAACGTTAACTCTAATTCATAGACATCAAGCTTCAAGTAAGAAATAAACTCATCCACAATTCACTTCAAATCAAAGCTCAACCATCGCACATATCATCAACATAATCATGCAATATCAAACATGAATCAAATACTGCACGCACATCACGTAAATCAATACTTAAAAATACTCAAAGCCAAAACTTGAAAAACCGTAAGGCGTAGAATTTACCCCCTTTACACTCACTTTTTCAATTTGCTTGGCTCGTGCTAACCCCATTTTGCTTGCCAAAACTGCTAGTTGCTCAAAATCACGTCTGTCTTTTTTCTCCCTTGATACCACTTCTTGCTTCACTTTGTCACGCAACAGCATTGTAAATTTCCACTTCCACTCTTCGATGCAATTGACTGAACGGCGAAGGATTCCATCTTGTGATCGGACCCTTCCTCGGAACCAGCATTGCGGTAAGTGGAAGGCATCTTCCTAATCAAATTCTTCTTATAACCCTCGATACCGCCATTTATAAAGAAACGGCAAGCCACCAGGACCAGGCGAGATTGCTTGCCTGTCACTGAACTTAAAATCCCCACCAAAAACTTTTTGGACATCCTCTTTCACCAGATCGCCATATGTTCTTGTTTCCGTGGTGGGTTCCTCGGTTGCCATCTGTTCGGTAGAGTGTCCAACAGCGGACGAGAAAGGAAATTCACTAGCCAACTCTGTAACCATTTCCAAAAATGATGACGACGATGACACAGCAGCATCTTCCGGGTCGGTGAACAAATATATATTTACTCGGACTCCATATCTGCCATGACACAGAAGCGCTTTGAGATGTGATGAAATTGCCGCTTTTCTTTCCTTTGGCCGCAGCTGAGAGAGCGGCTTTGTTTGGCCTCTTTCCAGAGCGTTTAGTTTTAGGTTACATATATATATTGTCTAGGTGAGACCGAATGAGAGGTAGGGTTGGGTTTGGGTTTAATTGACTGGGGTTATTTTGGGAATTTCATCATGTGTGAGTTTAATCTGAAACTTAATTAACGTCTGTAACTTCCTCGTTTTATGTCGAAACTCAACACCGTTATAATCGAGAATTAGCATTTTTAGTTCTCATCGATTTACGGTGGAATTTGACAAATTCTTTCAAGGGTATAATAGTCATTTTGACTTTTGGAAAGAGCGGGGTGTAACACAATGTTGTGCTTAAGTGTGTGTGTGGGGGTGGGTGGGTGGGTGGGGGGTGTAATTGTGATTGGCATGCAAATGGCCTATTTGAATGTGTTGTAGCCTTGTGTTTGCCAAATTTCTACAATTTGAGGGCTCCAACCACTTGTGCATGAATGAATGATCAATGATCGATATTTAGAGTTGTTTTGGAACCTAGATTGTTGCATGAAATTGTACATTATAGGGGTTCCAATCACAATTGTCCCTAGTATGATATTACTCAGTGGGCTTTGAATTGTTTAAATATTATGATGATGTGCAGTACAGGGAATAGAGTGTTGCAATGAGAATTCTTGATAATGAGTGGCTTTACTTCAATTTTCCTCTCGGTTGTGTGAAAGTGTTTGTTATGGAGGTTAGGACATGTGTGTGGGACTCCGAAAGTTAGGACTCCAAATGTTTGGCAAAACGTGCTCCAATTTGAATTTTTTTGTTGAAAAATTGAGGTTCTTATGTGAGAGGAAACTGTGCAAAGTGTTTGAGTTGAGCCGTCGAAGGGCTCCTCTCTTGGTCTGGAGTGCCATTTGAGGTTGTGTTTAGGGTTCGTATAGATTTTTAGCGTTCTGATCATCTTCACTACCTTCCATCACCCAAACGCCTCTCCTCCTCGCAGACTCATATGGAGAAGAGATAGTGTCCTTTTAAGCGAGTCAAGAGACCTTGACTCTCGTTTGCACCCGACATGCATGACAACATGTCTGTTCTTGAGACATGGAGTGCAGGTAGGGAAGTGGTGCTTGGGCAATGAATCTAACCATCATTTTCCCCACATGTGGCAGAGATAGGGAAGGCAATGTTCCTTTCGCTCTTGGTCACGAGAGAGAGAGAGAGAGAGAGAGAGAGAGAGAGAGAGAGATGCCTTGATTTGAAAAATTGCAAAGTGTGGTGATGTGCATGGCAAGTTTAAGTTGAGACTCGAAAAATTGAGTTTGTATTTTTTTTTAAGTGGGATCACCAACAAGGAGTCCTTGGATTTTCACATGTTTTTTTTATGAGTCCCCTATTGCACACATGAAGTCCTCGGATGTCTCGCGAGTAGTATCAAGATCACGGTCTCCAAATAGTGATGCCAAAAAGTAGCCAATGAAGTTCTAAGTAAAATGATGTGTTTCACTCTGAAATCACGGTTTCACATCGACTTCACGGGCATGATATGAGACTATGAAAGAGATATTAGAGGCTTCTTCTTCAAGGCTTAGAGAGAGAGAGAGACTGCTACGAGCTAAGAAGGAAGAAAGGAGAATTTCACCTACCCAAGGCTAGATGAAGGCTGATTTCTTCTCCAAGGGTTGAATCAAGCATCTAGGAAGAGACGGAAACACTTTGCTATGGTTTTCTTCTCTATTCTAGGTGTATTTTCTCTTCTAGCTATGGAGTAGTCTCCTATTTCACTTGAATGTTGTGAATCCTAGTCCAGGATGTTTTAGATTGTTGGATTTGAACTCTATGTGTGTTGGTTTCGTGATTTATATAATGATTAAGGTATTCTTCATGGAAATTGGGTGTTATTGATCAAATCCCTCAATTTAGGGACAAGTTTACCTAGAAGGAATAAATTTCCTTATAGCCCACTCTTGGCAATTCGGGTAATCCCTCGATCATCGAAGAAGTGCCATGATTCGTTATGATTGGTTACTTTTCGTTCCGAATTAACTTTCGAGGGAGTGGTAATGCAAGCCTTAGTCAATCGATTAAGCGGATTATGAAGCACTTGAATTGGTTTCCTAGCTAACTTTATCTCTTAATGGTATATGAACCTACCTACCACACTAGAGTTCTATCTTTGCATCTTAACATGGACTAGGGGGAGCAATGTCCGAGTGATTATTTATCATTCGGATTCATCAAAGTTTAATTGTTTAGAAAAAAGGCATTTCGACCAAGCATGCATACACGTGACCAAGAGAGAAAAAAATGAGATTAAAAAGGACAATTTGGTAAATTAACAAATTTGAATGCAAATACTACATCAATAATACAATTTTTTTTACAACAACTCATCACACGTAGCCAATGTTCGACCCGGCTTTTAGAAGTGTTTTTCGGTTTCAAAAGCTGAAGCAGGGCCAAACACCTCTAAAAGCTCGGGTTTTGAAAAGCCGAAAAAACACTTTTGTATAACATAAAAGCAGAAGCTCCGATTTGGAGCTTCTGCAAAAAGCTGTTTAGAAAAATACTATCCTTACCATATTTTAATTTCATTTCAGAAAACATATTTTTCCTTCATTTATATCATTTTATAAATAAAATAAATTATAAAATCATATTATTTAATATAAAAGAAATTTAACAAGATCCATTTTGACTATTTTTTATTATTCATATTTTTTATTCATATTTTTATAAAAAATGACCTCCAAATAACCTTTTTGACAAATAATCAAATCCAAACTACCATCAATATTTTCGTTTGGTAGGGGGGATAAAAATAAGGGCTCCGTGTCATTGGGCAAAGCTTTGATGACTCTTTCACCGATTCCAAGCCACAAGGGAAAAGTGGAAACTGAAAAGTGCAAAAAAAAAACATAAAAACAAAATAGTAAAACAGTAAAACAGTAAAAAGTGGAGATCCGGAGATCAACCCGAAGCGGACCTGCTGTAATTATATAGGAGCGGAGAGGGGTCAGTCCCTTCAAACCCTAGCGAAAAAACCATCCCTTTCCTATCTCTTTTCTCTCTCTGAAGCCCCGTCCATGGCTTCACGCAGAATCGTATCGTCGCTTCTCCGATCGGCCTCGCGGCGATCCGCGTTGTCGTCGAATTCCAACCCTAAACTCTTCTCCCCTTCCCCTGCATCCGCCCGCCGCGCATCTCCTTATGGCTACCTCCTCACCCGTACCTCTGAGTACGCTACCTCTGCCGCCGCCGCGGCCCCTCCGCAATCGGCTCCCGTGAAGACCGGTGGAAAGGATGTAGGTAAGATCACCGATGATTTCACCGGGAAAGGTGCGATCGGGCAGGTGTGCCAGGTGATTGGTGCTGTCGTCGATGTTCGATTCACTGAGGGTCTGCCTCCGATCTTGACCGCTCTCGAGGTGTTGGATCACTCGATCCGTCTGGTTTTGGAGGTGGCCCAGCATTTGGGAGAGAATATGGTCAGGACCATTGCTATGGATGGTACTGAAGGTTTGGTCAGAGGCCAGCGTGTCCTCAACACTGGTTCTCCCATAACTGTAAGTCGTCGATCGCTCCTCAGTCCAACTCCATTTTTGGGTCTTTTCCCCAAATATGTGAATCTTTGATGTATATACTTTGCTGTTTTCTGTATTCCGTTGGTCGCTGGTGTTGAATTTTTCTAGGTTGAGATGGTTGGTGTTGTTTCTTACCGCCATTTCGAATTTATGGATCTCGTAGCACTTGGTTTCCGGATCTAGGGAATTCCTTGTCCATTTCGTTCCTGGAAATTGGGGGAAATGAACTCGGTTTGCGTGGATTATGGATTGGGATTTTGTTGTTCTACTTCTATGCGCCGTTATTCATGAGCTCTTTGCGGTTTGCTATGTATTTATTTCTTCGATAAGTTTTTATGAGAAACGCTGAGTTTTTCATTGTTCGTGTGCTTGCCATTCTTAGCTTGTGATGTTTGTTATCTTCTGCTGTATTCCACCTTGATGACCTGGTTTTCATCGGCAGCAAATGTTTTGGCTGATGTCTGCGGTTGATGCTTGTTGTAACTGATGCCCATGTTTACTTACATTTCCAAACAGGTGCCGGTGGGCAGGGCTACTCTTGGCCGTATTATGAATGTTATCGGAGAGCCTATTGATGAGAAGGGAGACATCTGTAAGAACTCTCTCGTCTTGGTCTCTTTATTTTGTGGTGGTTGGAGGGTTAATTGATCAACTGTTATATTGTGTGTCATCAGCTACGGAGCACTTCCTGCCCATCCATAGGGAAGCTCCATCCTTTGTTGAGCAGGCTACTGAGCAGCAAATTCTTGTCACTGGTATCAAGGTACGGGTTAACAACTGAGTTACAAGTTATCTCATTTCTGTTGTGCTTTGTTTGTGCTTATGGAGCTAACCCATCTGTTCTCCAGAAGTTGACCAACATGCCATTTTTTTGCTTTACTTCTGTTGCAGGTTGTTGATCTCCTTGCACCATACCAGAGGGGAGGAAAGATTGGGTTGTTCGGTGGTGCTGGTGTGGGGAAAACAGTGCTGATTATGGAACTTATCAACAACGTTGCAAAGGCCCATGGTTGGGTGTTCTCCTTGAATCCTAGTTATTTTTATGGGTTCAGTCTCTTGTTCTCTAAAGCCAATTCTTTGAACAGGTGGCTTCTCTGTTTTTGCTGGTGTTGGGGAACGTACCCGTGAGGGTAATGACTTGTACAGAGAAATGATTGAGAGTGGTGTCATTAAGCTTGGGGACAAGCAGGTTAGTATGTCTGCTTTGCTGCTGTGTGGTTAAGGTTTTATATTTGTTAATGTTGCTTAACTTGAATGTTAATTCTTGGCAGGCTGACAGCAAATGTGCTCTTGTGTACGGTCAAATGAATGAGCCACCTGGTGCTCGTGCACGTGTTGGTCTCACTGGTCTGACTGTTGCAGAGCACTTCCGTGATGCTGAAGGCCAGGATGTGCTTCTCTTTGTTGATAACATTTTCCGCTTTACTCAGGTGGGAAACAATTTTACTTCATTCTTTTTCTTCTTTAGTTGACTTTCCTGCTAAAGTATCCGAAATGTTGACTGCCCATTATGTGGACTTCGTTGTCTATCATGTAGGCCAACTCAGAGGTGTCTGCCTTGCTTGGTCGTATCCCATCAGCTGTGGGGTACCAACCAACTCTTGCTACGGATCTTGGAGGACTCCAAGAGCGTATTACCACCACCAAGAAGGGTTCCATTACTTCCGTGCAAGCTATCTATGTGCCAGCTGATGATTTGACAGATCCTGCTCCAGCCACCACTTTTGCTCACTTGGATGCAACCACTGTGTTGTCGCGACAGGTGCAATTTTGCAATCATAATGACACCTTACATACCTATTTCTAGTGTTATGTAGTCTTAATTCTTCGTTGTTTGCTTGTGGTATTTCTAATTGTGAGATTTTCTTGACGCGGAGCAGATTTCAGAGCTGGGTATCTATCCTGCTGTGGACCCACTGGATTCCACATCCCGTATGCTTTCTCCTCACATTCTAGGAGAAGACCACTACGGAACTGCTCGTGGAGTGCAGAAGGTTCTTCAGAACTACAAAAATCTTCAGGATATTATTGCCATTTTGGGTATGGATGAGCTCAGTGAAGATGACAAGTTGACGGTTGCTCGTGCCCGTAAGATTCAGAGGTTCTTGAGCCAGCCTTTCCATGTTGCTGAGGTTTTCACGGGTGCCCCTGGCAAGTACGTTGAGCTGAAGGAGAGCATTGCCAGTTTCCAGGTACTCATCAACTGTTGCTCTCTGTGGAGTCGCTTTTCGATTTAGTATCATTTTACGTTGTTTGGCTGATAATTGTTGGTCTGTGATCAGGGTGTGTTGGATGGAAAGTATGACGACCTCCCAGAACAGTCGTTTTACATGGTTGGAGGGATCGAAGAGGTGATCGCCAAGGCCGAGAAGATTGCCAAGGAAAATGCATAGAGTAAAACAAAGGGCCTCTTTTTCTTCTTTTAGTGTAAGGCGGGTGGAATCCCATCTTGAAAACTTGGCTTTTTTAATCTTTGGCGTTCCCCTGCTCTCTGATAATTCCGAAAATCAATAATCTGTGTTTTAGACAGTTGCAAGGGAGTGGATTCCTTGCCAAAGGATGATATGTTCAAATTTTTTGAGACTAGAAAAGATTGCGGATCACGCTTTTCTGAGTTTAATTAGGTTTCAGAGGGCCCCGAATCGGATGGAGTAGTATAGACTATAGAGCCCCCTTCCAGTTCTTTTATTTTGTTCAATAATCTGTTGACGGTGATGTTAAAAAGCATGAAACGGGTAGTTGTATATCAAATCGCTGCCCTTGTGATCTGACCTTACTTTTCTAAATGGCTTTACTAGTTTCCTTTTCTCATCATGGCTGGTTTTTTTTTTTTTTTTTTTTTTTGTAAATGGGAAGTAACTATTGGCGAAGGCGGAGTCATTTAGGGTTGTGCAATTGTCTAAATGGTTCCAGCTCAGACAATTATGGTTTAATAGTGAAGGAAAGACATTTTTTAGGATCCATGATTGTATCAACATTGAATTTGGTTTGGTTAGATCCCATTCAAATTATCAATTTGATTCATTTTTCTTCCATACTTATAAGTTGTCAAATTGATCCATTTTCTTAACCACATTATAATTCTTTCGTTATCCAATCCAGACTTTGGTTTGGTCCTGTACAATTAGATACAGATCAAATCATTGTACACTTCTACTTGAGAGTAACCACCTCCTTCGTAAAAATATGGGAGAACTGGGAGAACTAGAAACACAAATGACTTTAGTCACTTGAAAATCTTGGTATACACAAACTTAAACAAAACAACAGTAGTTCTACGCTAAGGGGCCATTTAGTATAGTTTTGTTGCTGTTGTGGTTGCGGTAAAGTTGTGTCAACAATTCAACAAATGTACAATCGCAAAGTATGAAAATAAAAAAGAAAAAGAATAGATTTAGTTGGTGATTCTGAGAAATCATAGAAGTTAACAACCATAAATAGAATCGCATTGAGTTATTTATGTATGCCCCTTTAGTATCAATATTGAGACTAAGACAAAAGTAGAAAAATAATGTGAGGAATAGTGTGGCATGACAAGCTATAAGAAAACTGAGAGAGAAATATGAAAATAATATTGGCAATAATGTTTCAAGGATGAACTATGAGAAAATGTAGAGAGAGAAAGGTAGAAAGTGGGTCTACTAAGTTTTGGTCATAGAATATTTTGAATGAAACTATTCCAACAACTTATAAAATTTCATAAGAAACATATTTTGGAAACGCATGAAAGCTATTTAAAGTGATTTCACTGTTTTCAGCTAATTTTTGTTATGTTGCTACAACAACAGGTGAAAACATAATTAAACATGTTTCTGTCTCCGTTTTCATTTGTGAAAATAGAATTGGAAATGATACTACACAAGTTCCAAGAAAATGCTACTTATCATCTTTGAAGATGAAAAAATGTAAAGCAAGAGAGGAACCAATTTGCGAGCAGGTAAAGTTGAAACATTGTGCAAGCTTAGTATCGAAATAAGAAGATGGAGCGGTTGACATCAATCAATTCCACGAGGTTGTGGGATAGGATATCGTTGGAACATCAAGATCTCCCACCAACTCTTACTAAGGATTCAATGGAATCGTGAATGATGATTATCACCACCAAGTGAATGCTTGGAAGAGAGTTCAGCATATGGACGAGAGGAATTTAGTGAGTGGCACAAACCGTATTGATGTGGTACTATTTTGGAAACCTTAATTTTTCTTTTGTTACTTTTGTGTATTTTTACTTTTCTCACTCATACACTAATAAATTAATAAGAATTTAAGGCAAGATCGATATACAGTAAGAGAATAGGACACAAAGTTTTTGCTTATCAACATTGTTGGATTATTCTTTGAAATAATCCAAAATGGGATTGCAATACTCAAATAGCTATCGTTACCATTCCTCCGGTCACTTCACACCAGCGCCCTGCTATTTATAGATATCTCCTAGGACTCAACGCACTCATTGAGGTTTGCCCCACCATCATTCAAGAGGGATGCAGAGAGGCTCCAATACCACTTGTAACATCCCGAACCGTTTCCCGAGCAAGATATTCTCCGCTTTGGGCCTAGACCCTCACGGTTTTTGACTAGGGGTGCAATTCAAGGTGACTTCCCATAAGGTAACCCATCCTTGTTGTACTCCACACCGAGCACGTTTAACTTCGGAGTTCTCACAAAAACTCTTTGATTTCACCCCGAAACGCATCTTGTCGATTAAGGTCGGTTTCTTACTTATGAACCATGGATCTCTCCCGTGCTTTGTCGACGTGGGATTTGTCTAAGGTGTTACATCTCAGCTCTATCTTTTTTTTTTCCTCTGAATAGAAATGCTAGTACATTCCTGCCTTGTATGTAGTTGTTTCTTGTTTGGCGGAGAGAAGAGAAGTCTGTCAATAGGAGCTCTTGATGATAATTGCGGTAATTTTGGTGAGTTTTTATATGCTTCAAGAAACTTGTGCAAGTTTCGTAAGGTTTTTGGTGTGGTTTCTTGTTTTTCCGGTACGATTCATCAGAGTTATGGTCAGCTTAAGAGTTTTGTGGTATATTTTAGGAACCAATGTAGTAAAAAGCGCGATCCTATCTAGAAGCGGAAAATGGATAAAATCGTAAAAAGTAGAATCAAAGCGTAAAAGCGTAAGTTTTTTACACTAAAAAATGACTAAAAATTCTATTAAGTCTTTTTCGTTAACTAAAAAAAGTATACATTTTTAGTGAACTAGAAGCGTAAAAGCATAAGGCGTTTTCGTGAACTAAAAATGTAAAAGCGTAAGCTTTTAAGCGCAATTTAGTATGATTTTATACACTAAAGATTTTATATGAAAATGGAAGTGTTTTGATGACCTAAAAGCGTAAAATTGTAATCTTTTAAGTTTTAAAACGCGATTATGACTGCATTGTTAGGAATAACTTTATGATGTGCTTCCCATATTTTATGGCAATGCACTAAGATTTCTGGTCTACTTTATGAGTTTTGTCATGTGGTTTGTCTTGTTTAAGGTCCGCTTTCATGATACTTGTGGTAAACTTTTATGAGTTTTCTGTACTTCATGAAACTTGTAGTTAGTTTGAGTTTTGTGGTGTGGTGAGCTTCTTACACGCTTTATGAGCCGTCAGTTACCAAAGTAGCTTTTGTTATCATACTATGTCATCCTTTTTTCTACCACACAACTCAATTCACAAGGATTGCTACGAAGATTTAAACAGCTTGAGAAGACAAGGATTCCATTTCATTCAATCTATATAATTTCAATTTAGAGTTCAGACCTAGGACAAGAGTTGGACCAGAAACAGCCCTAATGGCTGAGGAACAGAGAGGGAAGAAAAAAACACAAGACGAAGCCGAGCCCAGATGAGCTAGAGTTCCTGGCTAAACGCCCCAACTCTAGTTCAACCAGACACAAGAAAGAACCCAATCCACAAGCTCCCAAAGAACTAACCCGATCTTACTGAGCAAGGGAAACCGTTGCTCCTCTTCTTCCTGGATAGCTCTATAAATAGCCTCGGAAAGCAGTACTCCTCTCTTCCTCCTTTAAAGATGATTACCGTTGCGAAGCTTTGATGAGAGCGTCGATCGGTGTGCAGCGGTTTCTCAATCGAGGTTTTCGTCTGTGTTTGATGATTCTGATGAGATGAGTAAAGGCGCAGTCGCTCGATGGGGTCTTGGCGTGGAGAGACGAAGAAGTGAATTGGTCAGTGGGCTTCCAGCCTAAACAGGCCTGTTCGGTTTTGTATGGGTGACAGGCCAAGGCCCAACAATCTCCCCCTGCGAACAAGCCTTTATTCCTGACAACAGAAAACGAATCATCAAAGCAAGGTAGTTCTGTGTGCATTTCAGAGTGTATTAGGAAATCATCTATTCCTAATATAAGACTTTCGATTCATTTCACAGAGTGCACTACCACGAAGAAAAAAACTTTATTTAGACCATTATGGTCTTTTAATTTGCAGAACATAAGAGCAGAACCATTAAGCTTTCAAAAAGGCAGGACTAGAGATCATAGGTTCACAAAAAAACACAGGAACAGTTCATAATTTTTATTCTTATGCTTTCTCCTTCAAAGCTTGTCATCCAGTGAGCTGTTTTCATTTGACTCCTCCTGAGTTTCTGCCAGTCCTTCCATCATGTTCTTCTCCCTTGGCTCCCCCTGAGTTCCAGCCATGCTCTCCATCATCTCCTTCTCAAGTTCTTCAGCGAAGAGCCTAATATCTTCTTCAGATACAGATTCGGGTTCCAATTCAGCATCTTGTTCCTCAAAGGAGATGATTAGGTTTCTTCGAACAGATGAGGATGATTCCCCAAGAAGCAAGGATTTGGAAAGAGTTTTGGATTTGCCTTTGATTTTCACAGCTGCTGGATCAGAGGTGTCTCCCCCTTTCGAATGCGGAGGAGCAACACCGATGAAATTCAAAACAGAGATAGCAGGGGCAGAGACTGAGGATTCCAGAGAAGAATAGACATCCAGAGATATGCCAAGATTGGCAATGAGAAGGGTGATGAACCCACCATAAGGAAGAGCACCACAAAGGTGAGACACAGCATTTCGAACAATTGATCCGAAAAGCAGCTGGGAATAATCAATTTTGCGTCCAGTGAGAGCATTTGAGAGAATCCAGAGATCAAGTTTAGTGACAATGTGAAGTCCAGAGGTGCGCGGCAGAAAAAAATGGGTAATGAAGTAGTGGAGAGTGCGCAGGGAGGGGTTTAATTCAGCAGAAGTGATTACTTCATCAGCTCCAACTCTACGTTGAGTGATACGTGAGTACTCAATCACATGATCAAAGTCATAAAATAGGAATTCATCCTCATGAGCAATAGGAAGAGGACCTCCAGAAGGAAGGTTCAGAATAACACTGATTGCTTCAGAGGTGAGAGAGATTAAGTAGCTGTTAACCAGAGTGGTGAGTTTTCTCGTGGTGATTCCTTGACAGTCTAGATTTGCATAGAAAGTGGGAACTGGGAGAGGACATGCAACCAGAGATGGGTAGTGAAGGAGAAATTCCCAACCCAGGTTTCGGATGTAAGGAGTAATATCAATCCAGCAGCTTTGAACTCATAAAGATCAAGGGTAATGGGGACACTAAGCTTTCTGGAGGCATAGAACTCTTTGAACCTATGAAGATTGAGATCAATAGGTTCATTGAAGGTTCTTCCTACATAAGTGACAATTGCTCCACAGATGTTTGAGGAGGTAAACAGATCAGTCATGATGAAAGACTAATTTGAGGATTTTAGGAATAGGTACGAAGATGAGGCAGGGAAGGAGCCCTATTTAAACTAACTAGGGAACATGATTCGAAGAATAGTCAAGCACGAATCAAACATTCATGGGAAATCCAAACAGCAGGTTCATTGAACAAGAAAATCATAAGAAGATACAATTGCTATAAATGCAGTAAACACTATTTAATAAGTAATTATGAGTAAGGAAGTGTAGAACCTGGATTAGCGAGCATTGTGAATGGAATGGAGAGATTGCAGTCCAAGATCATCACACAGTCTTATGAATCGATCAGAGGAAAGGGCTTTTGTGAAGATATCAACAATTTGAAATTCAGTAGAGATGAAATTTAATTCGACATGACCAGCTTGAATGATATCTCTAATAAAGTGATGTTTTACTTCTATATGTTTGGTTCTACAATGGTATACTGGATTTTTTGACATGCAGATTGCACTAGTGTTATCACATAGAATAGGTACTTTATTAAAGTTTAGACCATAGTCTGAGAGCTGTGATTTTAACCAGAGAATCTGTGTGCAACAACTGCCAGCAGCAACATATTCAACTTCTGCTGTTGACAATGCCACAAAACCTTGTTTCTTACTAGACCAGGATACAAGAGAATGACCAAAATATTGACAACTGCCACTCGTACTCTTTCTATCAGTAATACTTCCAGCAAAGTCTGAGTCAGAGTATCCTATTAAGGTAGGAGATTCAGATTTAGGATACCAAAGACCAAGATCATGTGATCCTTTTAAGTATCTAAATATTCTTTTGACTGCTGTCATTTGACTTTCCTTAGGGTGATGTTGAAATCTTGCACAGAGACAGGCACTAAACTGAATGTCTGGTCTACTGGCAGTTAAATACAATAAAGACCCTATCATTCCCCTATATTTATGTTCACAAACAGGTTGCCCATCTTCATCATAATCTAAGTGTGTATTAGTAGCAATATGAGTTTTGCATGAATTAACACTTAAAAGGTCAAATTTGGATAGCATTGATTGAAAATACTTAGTTTGATGAATGAAGATTCCAGAATTTGCTTGATGAATTTGTAATCCTAGAAAATAAGTTAATTCCCCCATCAGACTCATTTCATATTGGCTTTTCATGATGGAACAGAATTCCTCACACATACCGGGGTCTGTGCTTCCAAATACTATATCCTCTACATAAACTTGTACTATTAGGGTGTGATTATTTTTATGCTTAATAAAGAGAGTTTTGTCTACTCCACCTTGATGGAACTCTTGTGAGATCAGAAATGCAGTCAACTTTTCATACCAAGCCCTAGGGGCTTGTTTGAGACCATATAGGGCTTTGTTTAATTTAAAAACATGATCAGGGAACTCAAAGTCAATGAAACCTGGAGGTTGTTCTACATACACATCCTCCTTAATCTCACCATTCAAGAATGTAGTTTTTACATCCATTTGATAAAGTTTAAAATTCATGTAGCTGGCAAAAGCACAAAGAAGTCTAATTGATTCCAGTCGAGCAACTGGGGCAAAGGTTTCATCATAATCAATGCCCTCCTCTTGATTGT